CACAGAGAGACTACGAGTTACACTCTCTCGACTTCTCTACTGCTTTCCTTCAGGGCAGTCTTCACGAGGAGGTCTGGTTGCGTCGTCCCTCTGCCTTCACTGGCTCTTTCCCTCCTGGGACCCAGTGGAGGCTGAGGCGACCGGTTTACGGACTTCGTCAGGCTCCTCGTGAGTGGCACGACACCCTGCGTTCTACCCTGTCTGACCTTGGGTTCCAGCCTTCTTCTGCTGACCCGTCGCTGTTCGTTCGTCGTGGCCCCACACCTTTCTTTGTTCTGGTCTACGTTGACGACCTTGTTTTCGCCACCCCTGACAGGGTTGCTTTGGCACACGTGAAGTCCGAACTGCAGAAGAGACACACCTGCACTGATCTTGGTGAGCTGCACCACTACCTTGGCCTGCAGATCACCAGGGATAGAGCTGCTCGCACCATTACACTTTCACAGTCGCACATGGTGCAGCAGGTCCTTCAGCGGTTCGGGCTTCAGCACTCCACAGTACAGCGCACACCTCTTGCTGTTGACCACAGACTCACTGGACCCTTTCCTGACGAGCCGTTCGAGCCTAGTGGTCCCTACGCAGAGCTTGTGGGTTGCCTCATGTACCTGATGACTTGTACTCGCCCGGACCTCGCCTTCCCTCTCAGCGTTCTTGCGCGCTTTGTTGCGCCAGGGAGACACCGTCCTGTTCACTGGACAGCAGCTGTGAGGGTGGCGAAGTACCTAGCGACGACGTCAGGCGTGGGGCTAGTTCTTGGAGGGCAGCAGTCTGTCGTACTTACTGGTCACTGTGACTCCTCTTACGCTGACGACGCTGAGACTCACAGGTCTACTCAGGGGTACTGTTTCAGCCTGGGTTCTGGAGCTGTTTCCTGGCGGTCCACGCGCTCCTCTTCGGTCTCGACCTCTACAGCTGAGGCTGAGATCTACGCTGGTGCCATGGCGGCACAGGAGCTGCGTTGGTTGACCTTCTTGCTCACCGACCTTGGTGAGCGGCCGAGCTCTGCACCGACCTTGTTCACTGACAACAAGGCGTCTATTCTCCTTTGTCGAGAGCCACGACTGGAGAGCAGAGTGAAGCACATTCACGTCAGGTACTTTCTTCTGCGAGAGTTGCAGAGGCGTGGACAGGCTCGCTTTGAGTTTGTGGAGTCCGAGGCCAACACTGCAGACATCTTCACCAAGGCGCTTCCGCCTTGTGACCACCAGAGGTGTTGTGTGCAGTTAGGCCTTGTTGACACTGGTTCTCGTGTTGCTTAGACTTGAGTGTACTGTTTACTTTGCTTTCTATATACCTCTGTTACTTCTTGGACTGGCCTTGTGGCCACTGTTGTTTGTGCTCAGACTGTGTGGTGACGTTGTGATCCACCCTGAGCTTCGTTTCTTGGACTGGTCTTGTGACCGTACTCGTTTGGTTCTGCTAGACACCCCTCACTTAGGCTATGGGGGTGTGTCAAATGTTGTAGCCTATAGTGAGGATCAAATGTTGTAGCCTATAGTGAGGTTTGTCTTAGGGGGTACAAAACTTAGGGTTAGCTATATGTACCCCAACCAACATCAATGGATCATTCATTCCTCATTTTGACATGGTATCAGTTAGGTTAGGATCCTGTGGGATCCCGTTTCTCCGTTCTCCGATCGTACCACCCGAGCCTGATCCTAGCTCTCGTTTCGCCCGTCTTGCCCGAGCCTAGTGCCGGCCCGATCTAGTCCCGTTCGTTCGTTACCGCTCGTTCTTCCTCCCGATCTAGCGTAGCCCGATCTAGCGTACCGCTGCCGGTCGCGCTGCGCTTTCCCCCCCTGATCCCCGTCGAGGCGCGCTTCCCCCCCCCGCTGCCGTCGAACCGCGCTTCCCCCCCCCCCCCCCCCCCCCCCCCCCCCCTGCCCGTCGAACCGCGCTTCCCCCCCCCTGCCCGTCGACCCGCGCTTCCCCCCGCTGCCCGTCGACCCGCGCTTCCCCCCGCTGCCCGTCGACCCGCGCTTCCCCCCGCTGCCCGTCGACCCGCGCTTCCCCCCCGTTGCCCGTCGACCCGCGCTTCCCCCGTCGACCCGCCTTCCCCCGCCGCCCGTCGACCCGCGCTTCCCCCCGCTGCCCGTCGACCCGCGCTTCCCCCCGCTGCCCGTCGACCCGCGGTATCAGACTTTTTATGCTGATTCAGAGTTCAATCAGACTTTTTTTTTGTACCTAGGTTGAACTCAAAGTTTTTTTGTATGTACCTTGTCTGATTTTTCAGCCTTCTTTTTTGTACCTTGTTTGTTTTTTCAGACAACTTTGGTGAGTGTACGCTGATCTTGTAGCTCTACTAACGGGACCCTTGCTAAATCCCTGAAATGTGCTGATCGCCCCCCCCCCGGCTCACCCGAATCTCTCACGCCGCCCCCCGGCTCACCCGAATCTCTCGCGCCGCCCCCCAGCCACCTCAATTTCTCGCCCTTACTGGTCGCACATTTCCCCTACCAAGCCCTGCCCACCTCGTTTCTTCCCCCAGCCCACGTCTCCCAACCTACCAGCTTCTCCCGCCCCTCCCCTCCCCCGCGACCCACCTGTGACCCGCCTCTCCCGCCCCTCCCCGTGTCAGAATCCCAGCCACTAACCACTGGGATAAAAGGGCTTGTTTATGTAGCGGGTGAGTGCGCCCATAACCCCCCAGGCCAACGTGCCTGTAACCCTTCCCTAGGATCAATCGGGGATCACCAGTGGACCTCTGACACCCCCCCGCAGCTCACCTGCCCCTATAGCACCAATCTGCTTCTCTCGCCACACTTGGTTCTCTCGCACCCACTTGCTTCTCTCGCACCCACTTGCTTCTCTCCTGCCATGTTTACCAGATCTCGCTAAACCTTGCAAGATGAACTTAAATGTGTACTTCACCTTGACAAGAAAAAAAAAAAATAAAAAAACAAATCAACCTTTCTTTTTGCACCAACACTGAATTTTTGGGTTGCGTAGCAACCTTATACATTTGGTTTCACTTTCCGGGGAACTGACGTGAACAGTGTTTTTTTCCTTCCAAAACTCTGAAAGGGAGCACTGTTCACGCAAGTTACCCTATGTGAAACCAAATGTGTCCAATTATCCATAATCGTCGATAAGTACGGCGAATGGAATAATTGGACAATCGTTCTAGCACTAATGGTAACACCAACTGACACATGAACCGAAAGGCACACATACACAAATGACTACAAAACCGAACATGTACAAAAACCGTCGTACATGTTTTGAGGGGAATACAAAATGCATCAATGCAGCAACTGAGATTGATATGGTACGGAAGGGGCAAGCAAAGCTGCCCCACCGACGATCACAACCCCAGTTGCATACACGAGGCACTTTGCACCACACCCCAAAACAAGCACAGACGATACCATACAAGCTGGTACAAAAACAAAGGACAGACAACGATTGAGAGAATGTTTCAAGGCGAATACTAAAAGCATCAATGCTGCAACTGGGATTGATATGGTACAGAAGAGGCTAGCAAAGCTGCCCCACCGACGATCACAATCCGAGTTGCATTCACGAGGCACTTAGCACCACACCCTGAAACACACACAACACATATGCACATGTACGCACACACACACACAGGCTCACACATACACACAGACACACAACGCAAAAACATACAGCTACGGTAATAAGCATGCAAGAATAATGAATGAAGTCCAGCCTTGTATACTGTCCCCCATCCACCTCCCCCCCCTCCCTCCCTCCCTCCCTCCCTCCCTCCCTCCCTCCCTCCCTCCCTCCCTCCCTCCCTCCCTCCCTCCCCCCCTCGCCCCCTCCCTCCCTCCCTCATCTCCCTCCCACCCTCGCCCCCTCCCTCCCTCCCTCATCTCCCTCCCACCCCCTCCCTCATCTCCCTTCTCTGCCAAACAAAATCAACGAATGCAGCACACGCGCCCTGCACATAGCAAAAACAGAGAATGCAAAGCACGCGCCCTGCACAAGAAAAAAGGCAAAAACAAAGAGTGTTCACACACTGTACATAAAAATAATAATAATAAAACGCATAATGCTTCCCTGCGAGGAGGCCAAGCAGGAAATTTGACAACTCACAGAGGTAAAATGGTGTGCCTCCACAGTACTACGCCAACATGATGCAATACATTGTAGCCACCCTCACGTTCAACTTCACAATCACGCTCGCACTCACTCTTGTACTCAATCTTGCACCCACTCACACACAGACACACAGATACTCTTCGACACTCTCAGAAACGAACACACAAACCTACACGCCCTCTCGCACGCTCTCTCACACGCTCTCTCTCGCACACTCCCTCGCGCACTCTCACGCGCACTTTCACGCGCTCTCTCCACGCTCTCTCACGTGCTCTCTCACGCGCACTCTCATGCCCTCTCTCACTCACTCCCTCACGCGTCTCTCGAGCGCTCTCTCACGCGCTTACCCACGCTCATTCTCATGCGCCCTCGCTTTCTCACGCGCTCTCTCACCTGCCCCCTCACGCGGCCTCTCACGCGCTTCCTCACCTGCCCCCTCACGCAACCTCTCACGCGCTTCCTCACCTGCCTCTCACGCGGCCTCTCACGCGCTTCCTCACCTGCCCCCTCACGCGGCCTCTCACGCGCTCCCTCACCTGCCCTCTCACCTCTCACGCGCACTCTCACGCGCACTCGACGCACTGTCACGCGCTCTCTCACGCGCACTCTCACGCGCACTCTCACGCGCTCTCTCACACACTATCTCACGCGCTCTCTCACGCGCGCACTCTTACACGCTCGCTCACACGCACTCTCATCTCACGCGCACTCTCACGCGCACTCTCACGCGCGTCCTCACGCGCTCGCTCATGTGCGCGCACACTCACGCTCTCACGCGCGCACTCTCACGCGCACTCTCACACGCTCCCTCACGCGCACTCTCACGCGCTCCCTCACGCACGCTCTCACATGCGCCTCTCACGCGTTCTCTCACGTGCACACTCTCACGCGAACTCGCATGCGCACTCTCACACTCTCCCCCACGCGCTCTCTCACGTGCGCACTCTCACACTCACTAACACGCGCACTTTCACACGCTCTCTCACATGGCCTCTCACGCGGCCCCCTGGCGCCAGAGCGCTAACCGCCAGCGCGTTAGGCGCCAAGGCGCAAGTCACCAGCGCACTAGGCGTCAGCGCGCAAGGCGCCAGCGCGCAAGGCGCCAGCGCGCACGGTGCCAGCGCGCACGGCGCCAGCCCGCACGGCGCCAGCGCGCACTGCGCCAGCGCGCACAGCGCCAGCGCGCAAGGCGCCAGCGCGCACGGCGCCAGCGCGCACGGCGCCAGCGCGCACGGCGCCAGCGCGCACGGCGCCAGCGCGCACGGCGCCAGCGCGCACGGCGCCAGCGCGCACGGCGCCAGCGCGCACGGCGCCAGCGCGCACGGCGCCAGCGCGCACGGCGCCAGCGCGCACGGCGCCAGCGCGCACGGCGCCAGCGCGCACGGCGCCAGCGCGCACGGCGCCAGCGCGTTAAGCGCCAGCGCGCAAGGCGCCAGCGCGCAAGACGCCAGCGTGCAAGACGCCAGCGCGATAGGCGCCAGTGCGTTAGGCGCCAGCGCGCAAGGCGTCAGCGCATTAGGCGCCAGCGCGCACGGCGCCAAGGCTTTAGGCACCCGCGCACTAGGCGCCAGCGTGCTCGTTCGCGTGCGAACTCTCTCACTCGCTCTCCCTCTCTCCCTCTCTTCAATTGGTATTGCAGTGCAAAAGGAGATCAATCGACACACAAAAAACTTACGAAAAACGTACGAAAGTAAATGAATTTCTTCGAGAGGAGGAGAAATGGACCGGGAAAGGACAACACACCTGAAAATTACGGTGCCTCAGGGGTTGATCCGCGCTCGCCCACCAGCTCGCGCTCGTGCAGCTGCTGTCAGCGGCGACGGCGGGACGAGCGGGGGAGGCGACGACGGCGGGGTGGGAGGGAGCGGCGACGGCGGGAGGAGGGAGCGGCGACGGGCGGGAGGAGGGAGCGGCGACGGCGGGAGGAGGGAGCGGCGGCGGCGGGAGGAGGGAGCGGCGGCGGCGGGAGGAGGGAGCGGCGACGGCGGGTGAGAACGAGAGGCGACGGCAGGTGAGAGGCGACGGCGGTTGGGAAAGAAAAGATGGTGGGGTGGAGATAGAGGCCATGACGAGGTGGGTGGGTGGGTGGGTGGGAGGGAGAGGCAACAGGTGGGTTGGGATTGTCACGTGAAAACACACGCACAATCACGTGAGATTGACTGGGCTAAAAACTACTCACTACAGAAAGTGCAATGTAACAATACAAAGCATCATCTTTAAGGAAAGAGAACATCATTGTTCAATATATAAAAAACGATCAATGTGTCTAGACCTTAACATAATAGAAACATCAATGTTTAAAAATCATAGAGATCCACGCTGAAACGAATACATTGCACCATCAAGAAGCGCTTGCCGTATTCTTTAATACGGTAGACCAAAATTTGGCGCTAAATAAGAAATAGAAACTGCATTTCCTCTTTTTTTTTTTCCTTGTCAACAAGGAATGTAACATCTACGCAACCCTTACGACGTTGGCATCGAGTCTTGTCAGAGTTTCTTTGCTAGGTAACGCTGATCAGCAGACTTTTTTTATGGACCTACGCTGATGGATCAGCCTGGTCCAAAACGAATCTAGGGCCCTGTCGGGGGTCTTATGCACTATGTGCCATCAAATAAGACCCCACAAGTCATTTTTAGCACATTTAGGAAAAGACCCCCGGGTCTTCTAACCGGGAGATGACGGTAGTTGCAGTGCATTGCCATGTCTGAAGAGTTTGTCAAATTGTATCGTGGAACTCATCTAGTGGATGCAAAACACATTGAAGGAAACGTTACACTCAACATAGATATGGCAATACCGGTACATGCAATACAGGGTGCGTGCCAATGGTTGTAGAAAACTGGAGAACGGAAAATACCGTAAGAGTAATAATAACGAGAAGGGAGAAAACCCCCACCACAGCCCCCCCAGGCCCCCCTACCCCCCAACGCCCCTCACAGCCCCACAGACAGCCCGCCCCCGCCCCACACAGCACAGCCCTCCTCACACAGCACAGCCCCCCTCTCACACAACCCCTACAGCCTACCAGGGTCGTCGCTAGGGTCTGAGGGGTGTCTGATGCATCAGATGGGTCCCCCGGGCAAAAAAAAGTTTTGTCTGATGCCGACTGGCCCATCACATTAATCCGAAAAGACATGTCTGGTTATAAGCCAAACAGACAAAAAATGTCTGCTAGCGACGACCCTGCAGCCTACCCTCGAACCGTCCCCCACATCCCGGGGCGGAGTGGGAAGGTCCAGCAAAATTCAGCTTCCTGTTACCAGTCCCTGTCTCTCTGCTTGTCTTCCCTTGCTGTTTCTGTTACCCGTGTTGGTGCAACCCTACGGTTTGCACTCGGCTTGTTGTCCGTGCGGAGATTCACTCTACAACGGTAGTGAGCTAGACTACGGGGGTTGGCACGAACTACTAGGAGTGATCGTAGCTTTGCTTGGTTCCTTAGTGCTTGCACATTCACGGGAGAAATTGGCAAGAGTTTCCACTAGCAAAGTTGGAATTCCAGAATGATTGATTCAAGCAATGACAGAATGACTACATCAGGCACCTAGCAACCCTGCAGCCAGCCTGGTCGACTGCCAGCGCAGCTCGGTCGACCGCGCGCCAGCGTTGCGTAGAGGAGCCGCGCCAGCACTGCAGAAGAGCGACCTGCCAACGCTGCAGGTCGACGGCGTGCCAACGCTGCAGCAATGCGGCGGTCCAGCGTTGCCCCGTAGAAGACAGCAGTGCGTAAGGGCACGGCACCTACTGCTGCACCTCGTCGTCGCCGTCGCCGACGTCGGCCAGTCGAACTTGGCCGATGGCGACAGAGCACCGGTTGAAGGCCGGAAAATGCAGCGCCTTCGTCATGAAATCGGCAGGCTGCTCGGTGGTCGGGATGTACTTCAGCACAAACTTCCCGCGCCTCACCATGTGCTGCAGCCAGGCGTAGCGTCGCTCCATGTGCTTGAGGTTGCCCGTCAGCCCCAAGCCCTCAGCGACCGTGATTGCCGACTTGTTGTCGACGCGGAGGATGGTCGGCTTCCCAGCGTCGAGCAGCTTGAATTCCGCAAGGAGGAAACGAAGTCGGCGTCCCTCCTTGCCAGCATCCGTGGCCGCGACGTACTCCGACTCGGTCGAGGAGAGCGTCGCGCACTTGATGCGCGAGCTCGACCAGGAGACAGCGGCCCCTCCGTAGACGAACACGTAGCCGCCCGTGCTCGTCCGATTCTGCTTGTCGCCCGCGTCATCGGCATCCACGTAGCCGATCAGCTCCAGCGACTCTGGTCCACCGCCGAACTCCAAGGCGGTGTCGCGGGTGTCGGCGAGGTAGGCGAGGCAGCGGTCGACCTCGCGCCAATGCTGGTCGCTTCTCACCGTGAGGCCGCTCCCCAGCTTGCTGCAGGCGAACGCGATGTCCGGCCTCGTCGTCGTCGTCGCGAACTGCAGCGAGCCGACCTTCTGCCGGTATTCCTCCTCCTCGCGCTCCTGCGCTTCCTCGTCGTCGAATGTCAGCTCGGCGTAGGCGTCGACCGAGACCGGCGTCTTCGGGACTCGACCGCCCTGCTCCTCGTCGATGAAGCGCCTACGCAGTTTGTCGGCGTAGCCCTGTTGGTGCAGCCACAGCTTCCTCGCCGGCCTGTCGCGGACGATCTCCAGCCCAAGGTACTTCACCACCGGCGAGATCTCCCGCAGCTCGAAGGCGGACTGCAGCAGCTCCTTTAGCTCCTTCAGCATCGCGGTGCTGCTGCTGGCGGCGAGCAGGTCGTCGACGTAGACCAGCACCCAGCAGGTCACTCCGTCGTCGCCGGTCTTGAAGTAGAGCGCCTCGTCGACCTGGCTCTTCTTCCAGCCAGCCCCCAGCAGCACTCCGTCGAGAGCTCTGTACCACAGCAGCGGCGACTGCTTCAGCCCGTAGAGGCTCTTCAGCAGCTTACACACCCGGCCGGTCCCATCGTCGAAGTAGTCCGGCTGGTACATGTAGAGCACCCTGTCGAGCTTGCTCTGCAGGAAAGCGTTCTTCATGTCGAGCTGCATCAGGTTGAGGTCGAGGACGGCGACGATGCTGAGGAAAATCCTCAGCGTGACGTAGCTGCTCACCGGCGAGTACGTCTCGTCGTAGTCGGCGCCGTACACCTGTGTGAAGCCCTTCACGACCAGCCTCGCTTTCTCGCGCTCGACGGTGTCGTCGATGCGGTACTTGGTCGTCAGCACCCACCGGTTCTTCATGATGTTCACTCCGCGTGGGCGTTCGACCAGCTCCCAAGTGCCCATGCCGATGAGGCTGCGGATCTCCTCCTCCATGGCGGCCTTCACCGCCGGACCCTTCCAGCTCGCCAGCGCCTCCTTCACCGTCATTGTGGCGATGTCCCAGCGGTGTTCGGGGTCGGCATGCACGTCGGGGTCGAGCTCCGGCAGGTCTTCATCCTCCTCGGCGTCGTCGTACAGCAGGTCGTCGTCGACCTCGTCGTACACCGTGGTGAAGGCAGCTGGTGGCAGGCAGGCGTGGGCGTGGTAGCTCAGCTTCTCCGGCGGCCGTCGAGCTCGGCCTGACCGTCGCGGCTCCGGCGCAGGCTTCTCGACCGGAACCTCCACCACGTCGCTGTCGGTAGACGCTTGCCAGCTGATAGTTCCCCTTCCTCGTCGACGGCCTCGTCGTCGACCAGCTGCTTCGACTCTTCGACCGGCTGCTCGTCTGCTGCTGACTTCGACAGCTCCCCTGTCGACCGCCCCGGCTGCTGCTCCCCTGTCGACGGCCCCCTCGATGCTGCCTCCTGTTCGACCGGCTCCCCTGTCTGCTGCTCCCCTGTCGTCGACTTCCGGCCCTGGTCGACGAGCTTGGCGCCTTGTCGACCGCCGGCGATGCCACTGGCCGGCGCCACAGGCGACGCCTCACGGCTCCCCTCATCGCCGGTGGCCGACACAGGTGTCGAGGCAGACCGATCTGCGACGGGGGAGGGGAAGGGAGGAGCAAGAACAGGGGGAGGCGGAGGAACCTCCACAACATCGTCATCAGCAGGCTCGTCGACGTCGGCGAGCAGGGGGTCCAGCGCCGTCGAGGTGTCCGTCGGCGAGTGCGCCTGCGTCCGCCCCGACGCCGGCCCATACTTCGTCTTCCACACCTCCAGCGACAGCGTCTCGTAGAAGATCACCTCGACCGACGTGACCACCTTGTTGTCGGTGAGGTCGAGCACCTCCCAGCCCTTGCTCGCCGGCGACACGCCCAAATGAAGCCCCCAGCGAGCCTTCGGTGCCAGCTTCCCACCGCGCTGCTGCTCGGGAACCATGAACTGCACCATGCAGCCCCACACCCGCGCCAGCGTGAGGTCGGGCTTCGTCCCGGTTAGCAGCTGGTACGGAGTCGTCCCCGGCGGCGTCGTCGACCGCTCCAAGCAGTTGCGCACCCAGACGGCCTGTCGAAGAGCGAGGTGCCACCAGTGGTGCGGCACACCCATGTGCAGCAGCATCGTCCGCACGGATTCGACGACCGTGCGCATCTCCCGCTCCGCCATGCCGTTCTGCTGCGGTGTGTAGGGGCACGTCAGGTCGTGGACGATGCCCTTCCCGTCGACGAAGGTGGTGAAGTCCCGTCCGAGGAACTCCCCTCCCCGGTCAGAGCGGAGCAATAGCACCGACTTCTTCGTCTGCCGTTCCACCAGCACCAGCCACTTCTGGAACTCCCGCAGCACGTCGCTCTTCTTAGCGACCGGCATTGTCCACACAAACCGAGTGTGGCGATCCTTCAGAAGCGGGAAGTACAAGCTGCCATCCTTGGCAGCCACCCGAAATGGCCCGCACAAGTCAATGTGCACGACAGCCAGTGCCTCCTCGGCGTCCGAGCCCTTGTCGGGGAAGGTGTGCCGTGCCAGCTTTCCTCCGACGCACGAAACACACGGCGGGTCTGCTCCGGTCGACGGCGTGATGTCGAGCCCAGTAGCAACTTCATGCTTCGCCGAGCTCTTGATCGTGTCGACGCTGACATGGGCAAGCCGCGCGTGCATCCTGTCGGGGTCGCCTTCGTTGCCGAGACGATTGTCCGCAGAGCCACCACCTCGGTCGACGGCAACGGCGTCGAGCAAGGGCGAAGGTCGGTGCAGAGGATTCGTCCGGTGTAGCGTGCTCGACCGAGCACCTCCCCGGTTGCGGCGACGAGCAGCAAGTCGTCGCCGTCGCCCTGGAACTGCACTCCACTCTCCTTCAATTGGCCAGATGACAACAGATTCGCATGTACCCCCGG